GTGATGCACAGCTTTCATAGGAAAACACATTGCTATCCATCTCCATCTGGCTCTGTGCGCGCTCTCTGTGCTCCTTTGCTGTTTCACAGAGATTACTGCAGAGAACAGATCCCTGCCAGGAGACCTGCACTGTGTCACCTTCTCAAAATACCTCTCCAAGAGAATGATAAGGAGTGGAATTATATATATATATATATATATATATATATATAAATAAAAGAAAATCATTAAAACATTTAAATTCATTGAGAAAATGTATTTATTATTATTATTAAGTACATTTATCTTATTTTAAGAATTTTTTGCAGAAAAAAAATTACTTAGGAAAGTAAAAATGAACTCATTAAGAAAATCTAAATAGTTTTTTTGTTCTTTTTTCAGATTTGCTTCTCAAGAGTTCTCTTCTTTAGTATTTCAGTAGAAAATATACATAGAAATGGCTCATTAAGAGAACCAGAGATTAAGAAAATCATTAGGAAAATGCTCACTACAGCATTTCCTCACTGAAAATGTTAGGGACAAAACAGCACTTTAAAGAAGAACAATGCTGCAAATTTTGAAAAAATAAAAATACAAATACAAAGAAAAAAATAATGATAATAATAATCTTAGCAATGGTTCAGAGAAATATTTAGTAAATATTCATATCATTTTGTGCATCACAACAGTCAAAGAGAGCAAGGCAACGGCAACCTGCACTCTGGCCTCTATCAGGTCCAGTCTGAGGGCCAGGGCTTCTCTCATGAAGACGTCTGGGTAGTGGGTGCTCTCGAAGGCCTTCTCCAGCTCCTCCAGCTGCCAGCTGCTGTAGTTGGCCCGAGCTCGCCGCTCCTTCACTGGCCGGGGTTCATCTGGAAGCCACATCACAGCCACCAATTAGACAATTGCCAGAGGCTGACAAGGAACTAATGGCTCTAGATTGGATAATTAGCGCAGCGTTCATTAAGCCCTCTTCAGCAGAGCCGGATAATTGATTGTTAGTTACGAGTTGCTAGCCAATCCTTTGTAAACATTTTGAATCCTATTAAATACTGTAAAATCAGGATGGACAATTATGAGAGAATATGATTCACAAATGGCCTCTCTTAATGAATGCTACACATATGTATTATTAAGAGCAAATCACCTAAATAAATATCCAACACTCAGAGCTATCTCACCAGTCAAGCTTTTTGCCATACAACACATTATATAAGAGAGCAATCTTATCTCGAAGGTTTTATTTACACAGCTTTACTGAATACATGATTCTTATTAGCCAGTTATTAAACTGTATAACTGATTGTTGTCATAGGCAATCAGTTTCTTAAATGTCTCTCGTATCACTATGTGGCCTCTTTCTTCACACATAATAAAGTGATTTCAATGCAAGATAAATATTTCATGTCCATATATACATTTTTTTAGTAAGTAGTAAGTATATAATAAATAATCAATATCAGGGTGATAAAAGATCAGAGCAGCTGAGTCTTAAGCCATCTTCAAGAAACTGCTAAGGACACATCTCTTCCATCTACACTTGACCCTCTAACACTAGCACGCTGTATTCTATTTCTATTCTATCTACATGCTTTATTTTATTCATTATAAAAAACCTGACCCTCTAACAACAACAATCTCTATTCTATTTCTACTTGTTTATTTTTATTTAAAAATAATAATAATAACTTGAGCCTCTAACACCAACACTTTCTAAAGTCTATTCTATCTACTTGTTTATTTTTATTTATTTAAAACATAATAACTTGACCCTCTAACACTAACTCTATTCTATCTACTTGTTTATTTTTATTTAATTAAAACATAATAACTTGACCCTCTAACACTAACTCTATTCTATCTACTTGTTTATTTTTATTTAATTAAAACATAATAACTTGACCCTCTAACACTAACTCTATTCTATCTACTTGTTTTCTTTTTACTTATTAAAAAACTTGACCCTCTAACACTAGCAATCTCTATTATTTTTCTATTCTATCTAATTGTTTTCTTTTATTTATTTATTATATAATAAAACTTGACCCTCTAACACTACCACTTTCTATTCTTTTTCTATTCTATCTACTTGCTTTTTTATTAATTATAAAAACATTTGACCTTCTAAAACTAACAATCTCTATTCTATTTCTATTATATCTAGTTGTTTACTTTTATTTAAAAAAATCATTTGAGCCTCTAACACTAACAATCTCTATTCTATTATATCTAGTTGTTTACTTTTATTTATTTAAAGATATAATTTGAGCCTCATGCTAACAATCTCTATTCTATTTCTATTATATCTAGTTGATTACTTGTATTTATTTAAAGAAATAATTTGAGCCTCTAACACTAACAATCTCTATTCTATTATAGCTAGTTGTTTACTTTTATTTATTTACAGAAATAATTTGAGCCTCTAACACTAACTCTATTCTATCTACCTGTTTTCTTTTTATTTATTAAAAAACTTGACCCTCTAACACTAGCACTCTCTATTCCTTTTCTATTCTATCTACTGTAATTGTTTTATTTTATTTATTTCTTATATAAAAAACTTGACCCTCTAACACTAGCACTTTCTATTCTTTTTATAGTCTATCTACTTGCTTTTCTAATTCATTATAAAAAACTTGACCCTCTAACACTAACACTAACAATCTATATTCTATTTCTATTTTATCTAATTGTTTTCTTTTGTTGAAAAAAAATATCTTGAGCCTCTAACACTAACACTCTCTAAAGTCTTTTCTATCTGCTTGTTTATTTTTATTTATTATTAAAAAAATAATAACTTGAGTCTGTAACACTAACTCTCTCTCTATTCTATCTACTTAAAAAAAAAAAAAATGCAGCATTCATTAAGCCCGATAATTGATAATTGATTGTTAGTTATGAGTTGGTAGCCAATCAAAAATAAATAAATAAATACAATCTTTTGTCTTTTGTTGGTTTAATTGCTTCTATTGCCCTCATTTATAAGTCGCTTTGGACAAAAACGTCTGCTAAATGATTAAACGGAAATGTAAAACATTTTTTTTTTTGTGATAAAAGTTCTCCTTTTACTCTTCACATGAAAATAAAAATGTAATTTAAACCAAATAAATAAATGAAAGATGGCATATAAGATATTATATGTAAGATGGGCTCACCGATATTCTCAGCATGTTGTCCTGTGGACTGAGCGGCCAATAGCAGAGCCTGTTTGCAGGGCTCGGGCTGCAGGTAACTGCGCAGGAGCTCGTAGCTGAGCAGAGGCCCGGGGATGAAGATCTGCGGTGAGGTCAACCTGTTGGGAAACGCCGGGAAGAAGTGCGCAGCCGAAGAGTGAAAGACTGCAGAAGACAGAGGAGACACCAAATGCCCAGTGCCAAACATGGCCCAAGTTCAGCAAGGTCCAGAAAGAGCTCCAGAAATAGACGCAAGCACGTGATGAACAGTCTCTTCAGGCGTTGAAGTGCTACAGAAGAACAAACTAGAGATCCAGCTCCAAGAGAACTTCTTAGCAGATCCAGAGTCACTAAAACGTTTCTCACCTGAGTCAGGTGTGAGTCCCACCCTCTCCCTGAGTCACATGACTCACCTATGACCACTAATCCTAGTAAAACAGGGCCGGGTTTGAAGGGAATCACCCAATCATAGGGGACAGTTGATTCCATGCTTCATTTAAGAGAGGCTTCTTACAGCATCACCCTTCAGCAGACGTCCAACGGTGACACCTAATGCCTCCTAATCCACACCTCGGCTACTCTGAAAGAGTAAATGAGTAATATCCCACCACTTCCATTCGGGGAGGAGTACTGTATATGGACAGGCCTGTCATTCTGAAGTATTCCATAGACAAGTTCAGGCACTCTTCAGCTTCTGTGTTCACTTATTAATATGACAAAGCAGACATGTGGAATTGGAGTGTGGCGAGAAAATGGGGAAAAGCACCGTTCCTGAGCTGCAAACGCTTTCAAAGACGCGTACAACCGCCAGAGAGACCTGTTTGTCGCTCTCACCCTGCTGTCGGCGTACAAGGGTTAGATCTTAAAACACAGCGATGTAACAGATGGATATTAAATCATTAAGGGAGAATCAAAAGGTTCACAGCTGAGAAACGTTCAGTAAGAAAACCCAATACAAACAGAGCTTTAGTTGAAACCTGCAGAGAGCGCAAACAAACAGCCTCTGTTTGCACAGTAAACACATCACACTAATTGGCCCACATAATTGACATTCATTTACAAGCCCATTTGCAGCATTTGGGTGTTTGTATGACATCCATTTGCGATACAACATGACTAAATGGAAAAATCCTTCAGGAAAGGCTTTGATGAGTTTTCATAATCAACATGCTTCTCTTTGGCGAAAGCATCTGAAATGGAGAATGTGTGGCATCAACTGGGAATTCTGCTGTCAGATTAAAACCCGACGCCTTTGTTTCAAAAGACGTCCAAGCCTGTTATCTCACTCTTGACGCTCTCGCCGCCGGCGGTGTGAACGCACAGTAAGAAACTCGTGACAAATGAGTGTTCTAAAAACAATGTGTTCGAAAATAGGCTCAAAATAGCAAACGTTTGATATCCTCTGATTGATGGATTCATAGCATGACAGGGTATATACAGGAATCATGGAGTTAAATTTAATACCTTTTAAGACCTTTTTCCATACATTTTAAGACCTCATCGCTAGGGATGCAACGATTATAGATTTTGTTGGTACGATTATTGTCTGAGGAATAATCACGGTTTTACGATTATTACGATTATTATGCATTTATTCATTTCCCAACATTACTAATGTATAAAATCACATGAAATAACACCGTAACCAACAATACAGCACACAATAATAAACAAAAGACAAACAAAAGTCCATCTCTCCCATTGGAATTAAAAAAAGGTGACCTCTGCTCTGTAAACATCCATGACAGTATTTCTCTTTTGAAACTAACAAATGGAAATAGATCACAAAAGTATTTAATGTTTTCAGTTTGTACATTCTTTACATTTCTTTTGGACCTGGGATAGAGAATTTGGAAACACGGTGAAAAAAAAATCTTGTTGGTTTTTACTTATGAATAATACTACAATAGGGATAGTAAATAACAATTAATATATAAATAACCTATTATTAATACGACTAATATTAACTTTATCCATTTGCGATACAACATGACTAAATGGAAAAATCCTTCAGGAAAGGCTTTGATGAGTTTTCATAATCAACATGCTTCTCTTTGGCGAAAGCATCTGAAATGGAGAATGTGTGGCATCAACTGGGAATTCTGCTGTCAGATTAAAACCCGACGCCTTTGTTTCAAAAGACGTCCAAGCCTGTTATCTCACTCAAAGCCTTCTGCACATTAGGAATAAGATCACCTGTCCAAACAAGGTGTATTGTTCAGTCCTGAGCTAAGGACACAGTTCACTAACAATGGTTTTGGGTCATGGATCTCTGGTCTTTGAAAACAGATCACTTTCCCAACTAAGACCAAATTGTACTTAGAGAGGAATGCCACACTATTCACTACAGCACGTCAAACAGGTTGAGGAAATTCTGAGTGAGAAATTATGCACTTTTCATGTAGACACTAGTGCACTGTTAAATGAATAGTTCACCCAAAATTGATTCTGTCATTTACTCACCCTCATATTTTTTCAAGACTGTATGACTTATTTTCTGTGGAGCACCAAAAAAAAAAAAATTCTGAAGAATACCACCTTTTCTGTATAATAATAGTTAATGTGAATTAAGGGTGTCAAGTTCCAAAATGGATAAAGCATTATGAAAGTGGTTCATATGACTTAAGTGTTCATTTGAGAAATAGAGATGCCATGAATGAATCATATTTCCCAATTAATCGACCATCTAATTCATTCATTCGCATATCAGGCTGATCTAAATCTTAAAGACTGGAATATGCTACGTGGTTTTTTCAAATCTGAACATATTTTAAAGCACTATGCATCATACACTTGCCGACTTTGGAAATGGTTACAGATTAAAAAACGAAATGACTGAGGATCACACACTACCAGACTTTCAAGTTGTTTTAAACTCTCACGCATCATTACTAACTGTGCGTTCACACCGCCGGCGGCGAGAGCGTCAAAAGATCGCTCTGGCCGCGCTACCCACAACGCTGACCACCGGCGGCGAGAGCGTCAAAATTCGCTCTGGCTGCCCTGTAGACGCTCCACGATCGGTAATAATTAATTAAAGTAGCTAAATGTTATAAGTAATTAATTCGAATAAATGTGATCTTACAGCACTATTTCATCTCTTTCTGATCTGAAACGAGCTGTAGCTTCGCGTCAGGTGGTTCTTGCCTTCACCTCGTGCATTAAAATCGTTCAATGTACAGCTAGCCGTGCATTCATTCAACTAAACAGACTTACTTTGTGATAACTCATTATCAATGCAACATAATTCAGAAGGGGGGAACGAAGCACAAGGGAATTAATTGAGTGACTAACCAATGCAACCCAAGAAACAAGAATTAGACCAATAAACAAAACAACTGACAAAACTTATTGAGGAGGGAAAATCAAGCTCTCCGAGCTAACAGGACAATGAGTTCACGCAGTATATTCAAAAGATGTATTTGTAACATCAACCCTTATAACTGTCTGCAAACCATAGTTGTTTTGTGGAAGACTTCTCATGACAAACATCTGACTGATCAGACAGTTTACCTGTGATTACGGAGTGCTTGATTTGATGCGGACTTGACAGAGTGTCAGTAGTACTGCAACTGATCAAGTCTGAATGATCATGGAAGGTAAAATAATGATCACAACTATTACATCATTTTAATTGTGCATCCCAAGCCCATGCAAACACAGCTCAAATGCTTCCCACTAGTGTGGCCCAAAACATTTAGCACAGTTTTATTACAGGTAGAACGCAAAATGTTTCAGTGCAACCATTTCAACCAAATGTAATTTATGCAATATTTCTCAAACTTTCGCCGTGGCATTACACCGTCGTCGCTTGCGAAATCAAAATGACTGCGCCGTGGGTGGAAGTTTACAGATTAAGGGGCGGTAATATTATAATGAGATCCCTTTGCCACTTCACCAAGGGAGCGAAATCTGACGCACTCATTTTCTCAGACGCTTGCAGAAAAAGGCTTCCCAAAACAAAGTTACTGGGTTCATCTTTTTCACGTTTCCTTGGCTGGTAGATGCAATAGGCGATAGGTCAATTGCATTCATCTGAAAGAAGAAAGTCATATACACTTAGGATGGCTTAAGGGTGAGTAAATCATGGGGTAATTTTCATTTTTGGTTGAACTATTGGGCGAACTAAGTTCAACTCATTGACACAATGATACAGTTGTAATGTAGTAGTCAACAGTTCACTGGAAAGAAAAATTATCAGTGAAATATTGCTAAATTGTTGATCTGTTCATAACACACAGCAATCATATGACTTCAGAAGACACACAATTTGGTAAACGAGTCAAATGGACTTCTTTTATGATACTTTCCTAGTACTTAAGTGTCTTTTTGGAATCTTGAAAGCTCCAGACCGACCAGATCTCCAGAATGATCAGCAAATTACTAGAATCATGTTCATAGTCTTCCTCTCATAAGATTGCGTAATGCTGAATTTTCATGAACTGCAATGTTTTTGGTTTTATGTCAATGTTTTATGATACATGATATACAGTATTATATTTGTTTTAACTGTATAATTTTGCAGTTTAAATAATATTCATGAAAAATGTAATGAAATTAAAAAATTATAAATCATTATTCAGCAAAAAATAATGGAATAAATAAAAGCACAAGTTGTTGGAAAGTATGTATAAGGTGTCAATTACAAGGCTGTTGCCGTATGGCAGCATATCACAAAGTACCTTAAATTAATATTTTTTTTTCCCAATTTTTTTTTTTACAGCACTTCAAGTTAAGCCATTCTTAGAAAATAAAAATATTTAAATATTTTTTTTTTTACTATTTTTTTCTATAGGTCTATCATAATGCGTGCGGTAGAGGGTTAAGTATTGAAAGTAAAAGTACAAGTAAATGCAAAATGGAAAAGAAGCAAATAAATAAATGAGATAAATTGAGTAGCAAGATTATGTTCGGTTTTAATTAATGTGAAATTAAAACCGCCAGTAGGTGGCAGCAAGGGACTGTTAATGAGTGATTCATTGAGATTCAACAGATTCATTCAGGAACAAAGCATTTGACTGTGTTAATGAGTGAATCACTGAATCATTTTTAGCAACCGATTCATTCAAAAAGCTGATTCATTCAATAAGTAAACGCCGGCGTCCATTGCTAAGAGCATAGATGCAAAACAGTGCTGTGTGATCTCTGTTTGGAACTATTTTCGTTGGCAAAATTGAGCAAAAACAAGCAATATTATGTCTAAAATGT